AATTTTTATATCACAGCTAACCCTAAAAAATTATGCACAATTCGAAACGATAAATATTCATATATGTACATCTAAAAACACGTAAAAATAAGTAGTATTTAGAAGACGTACTGTTGTTTGCCTCCACCCGGGGCTTATCAGTGTATCTAATTAAACAAAACTAGTGATTTATTTAATGAAAGTGTACATCACACTGTGTGCTGAGGCGCCACCTACTACTGGCTGGTGATCTAAACGCCCTGATTGTACCGATGCGAGACGTTCTCCCAACTTACTATAGCCACGTCGTGGTATGACTATGTGATTATGCCCCAACCTATTCATCCTACCATTTTTACAATACATTTACAATGCATTTTATAAACCTACCAGAAAAGCACATAAGCTCACGGTATCTCTGTGTTACTGAAACTATAAGAACAGTGTTAGAAACAAATATATAACTGAAATGCTTTCATTGGGTTGTATAAAATTATTCGGGAACAGAATGCTTCGCGCGATCTGCCAATTTAGGGACCACTGCGTTACATGATTTCAGGCAACCTAGTTTACTGGAAAAAGTTTCCATATCTCTCCAAGCTTTATATACCTTTACTTACGATAAATATGTTAATGTAATGATTAAGCAATGTATTATAAGTGTAAAGAACTTTGGTACAGAATGACATTGTAAAGCTTACCGGTTTAAGTATAAGGAGCATCCTGCATAATGTTTCCCCTGTGCATAACAAATTCTCCTGCGTATTACTTAACACGCATCATGTATATACCCCCTTCTGTGCATAATGTTTTTCCTATGTATCACTAATTTCCCTGTGTATAATTTAATGCGCATTCTGCGTTTAATGCGCAGCCAGTGCAAAATAAACATCATTACAATGGGATGATAATGTATATGTTACCAGTATACGGTATATTAGGAAAGAAAATTAATGTAATAAGTAGTTGCGAAGTTAATGTAATGTTAAGGTAAGGCTTTATTTCGTCTTGTCAATCTGATGTGTAAAATATAATGCAATGTGTAAAGCATGTATCGCAATATATAATGTAATATGTAGTGTAGTATGTACTGATAAACGCAGTATGCACTATCTTGACTATCTTGTTAATTTGATATGTAGTACATTATCTAATACGTAAGCCAAGTATCGTAATATGTAATGTAATCGGAATAGTGTCATATGTATCATAATAAATAATGTAATATGTAATGTAACCGTGATAGTGTCATATGTATCATAAATATGTAATGTAATATGTAATGTAGTATGTACTCATTAATAAGCAACATGGCACACAATGCAAAGCCCAAATGAAACAATGCGAATGCAAACTGTATAATAGTATTATGTATAACGATGTAGGCAGTGTATCGAATAACGGGTACAATTGGCATGGTGCTGATGACAATTCAATATGCATCCTGTGTATAAAGCTTATCATGTGTATAATTTATCCTGTATAATGCAAAACCTGTGTATAACTAATTTTCCTGTGAATAATTTAACCCGTATCATGCTTATAACCCCCTATTGCGTAAAATGCTCCTATGTATCATTAAATTTCCCCGTGTATAATGTAATGTGTACCCAGTGTATAATGATAATATAATGCGCATCCTGCGTCTAATGCGAATCCTGTGCAAAATAACCCTTTTATAATCTACCAATATAGGGTTTATTAGGAATGAATTTTAATGTAATAAGTTGATGAGAAGTTAATGTAATGTTAGGGTAAGGTATTAATTTGATATGTAGTATATAATGCAATGCGTAAATCATGTATCGTAATATATAATGTAAGATAAAGGTGGACGTGGTGCTGTACTGATTAACCCAAATGGTAAAAGGGACAGTGCCCACGCCCTCCGTCGCTTATCGCTTATACCTTTACTTCAGCTCGATAAGCACCCGTCCATTGTTCTTAGGATCTCCAGACGATTTTCCGCTTCTATTCATACGATTTATACGACTAATGGCTTTGTGGAGGAATTTGATGGTATAAGATTGATATAAAAATCAAATAATAAATATAATACATGTTGCAGAACAGCAATATTCGCAGTTTCCATATATTCGCCAATTCATTTAAAGGTAAATAATATCCAAAACAGAGATATCTTAAACATAATCTTTAATGAACCTCCAAAATAAAAAAATTCAGGCGGATGACAACAGCAGATAGTGGAAGCTGTTCCGCTATGTCTTACTATCTATCTACCAGAGTAATGGAGATTCAGAAATTCCCCAACAAAAACACCCTTTCTCACAAACATACACCAGATTATGTAAATTCCTTTTTTACTAGTATAAGGTATTTTTTCCCTCCTTTCTGCATGCCTTTGGGATGTAATAGTAGCACACTCCGCGCGTATTTGAGAGGTCCAGGTTCGAGTCCCGACGAGCGCACTGGTCGAGTTTCACGTCTCCAGCATCAAAATAACCTAATGACACTACAGTGGAGCTCAAAATATAAGGTGGTAGGTGATAATTCTTCCCCATCAGGATTTGGGAATTATTTCCCCTAGATGTCGCGGCAAAGCCAGCGAACTATTAAAAATAACATTACCCTTTTTGTGAATGGCCTCACTTACGTTTTTTGTATTTAAAACCTAACATAAACATGAAGTATAGAACAAGCAAAAGACATTTTTAAATACAAAAAACGTAAGTGATGCAATTCACAAAAAGGGTAATTCCTAACATAAACATGAAGTATAGAACAAGCAAAAGACATTTTTAAATACGAAAAACGTAAGTGATGCCATTCACAAAAAGGGTAATGTTATTTTTAATAGTTCGCTGCCTTTGCCGCAACATAGGACCTTTTTCCAAGTGTGGCGAGGTCTAACATCTTCTTGTAGTAGGACAATGTCCCCTTTCCGTATTTTATTTGTTTCAGATGTATTCCGCACTTGATGAAATGTACGCAAGCCCATCAAATATTCCTTTTGCCATCTTTTCCAAAAGGAGCCCACCAAATGTTGACGATTCTTTATCATACGATTATTCTTTATCATACGATTTAAATTTGTTTCAGGATTTGTGAAGCTGGAAGGAATAGTAGTTAATTTCTTTCCTATGAGGAAGTGCGAGGATGTTAAAGCTTCCTCAGAGTCATCTTTTATTCCGTATTCGTGGACAATCGGTCTACTGTTAAGAGCGGCTTCAATATCACATAATACAGTGATCAAACCGCGTCATCCAAAAGAGCCTTACCTAATGTTTTCCGAAGGCATCGCTTAATTGAGCCTATCATTCTTTTCCACCATCCTCCCCACCAAGCCGCTCGGGGGGGCGATGAATTTCCATTTGATGTTGTGGTGGGCATAAAACTGTTGTGCCTTGGCAGAGGATATAGTATCCCACAATAATTTCAGCTCTTTGGCCGTAGAGAAGAACGTTGTGGCATTATCAGTGTACACTGTATGAGGAAGTGAACGTCTAGAGACAAAACGTTGTAATGCAAGTAGGAAGACGTCAGTACGCAGATCGGAAACTAATTCTAAGTGGATAGCTCGAGTTGTAGCACATGTGAAGATGACAATGTAAGCTTTTGTAACGGAGTTATTATTTTTTACGTAGAGTGGTCCAGCAAAATCAATTCCGGTAGTTTCGAAAGGAGATGACTTTTGAATTCGCTCAGCTGGTAATGGAGCTTCTATCTGTTCACTTCTCTTTTGTTTCAGTACTTTACATGGAAGGCAAGTCTTTATCACCTTTTTAATGGCTTGTCTTGCTCTTAATATCCAATATTCTGAACGAAGCTGAGAAAGTACAATCCGAACACCGAGATGATGCATTCGTAAATGTGTTTGGCGTATCAGTAAAATGATGAGAACCTTCCAATAATATGGGATGTTTTTCAGCATGAGATAAATCAGAAAATTGTAGTCGACCACCAAGAAGTATAATATTGTTCTTGACAAAAGGGTTAAGTTGTTTTATCCTTGATTTCTTAGGGAGTGATTTTCCTGTCAACAGAGCTTCATATTCTGAAGGAACAGTTGTGAATAAAGCGAAGAATCCAAGATGTTACACGAACGTAAGAACTGTAGTTTCCAGCCTTTATGATTGGTTGAGTAGATACAATGTGAAGGGTCTGAACCTTTTCTTTCATTGCCTCGAAGTTATGACTGTAATCTTGAGAAATAGTATCAGAATGAGGCCAATATTCTAGAGATTTGACTAACCATGGAGGGCCGTTCCACCAAATTTCCAGGTTTTTTAGTGTTGATGGTGAAACACCTCGAGAAAGTTTGTCAGCTGGATTGTCTTTGCCAGGGCAATGTCTCCATTGTGAAGGATTGGTATAGGAAATAATTTCTGTTACTCTGTTGCTAACAAAAGTTTTCCATTTGTTGGGGTCACTGCGTATCCACCCTAAGACAACTTGAGAATCACTCCACAATGTTGCATTTGACGAACAGATGTTTGTTTCAGCACAGAAATATTGCAACAATCGTGCTCCCATCAGGGCCGCCAAGAGCTCCAAACGAGGTAAGGTAACTTTCTTTATAGGAGCTAGTTTTTTGCGACTACATACTAAATTCACATTCGATTGGTCACCTTTAAAGGTAACAATGTGCAGAACTGAACCATAGGCACGTTCAGATGCGTCACAAAACACATGAATAGTAAACGGAATATCTGATGAAATGAATATGCATCGAGGAATTTGAAGGGAGCAAATGTCATCAAGTTCTTTCACAGCACAGCTGCATACCATAAAGTTGATAAATTAGCAGGTAGTAATTCATCCCACTTGATTCCAAGAATCCATGTATCTTGGAATAAGATTTTCCCAAGAATAGTAAACGGTGAAAAAAGGCCTAAGGGATCATAAAAACTAGCAATGCAGCAGAGTAACCATCTCTTTGTAAGTGGTTTCTTTGTAGAAACACAGAGGGAAGTCTTGAATGCATGCTTCAAAGTATCAGAATTTGTATTCCATCCGATGCCTAAGACAATTGTTTCCATTTTTTAAGATTCTTCATGTATTTATAGTACATTTTTGAGTTTCAAAGAGTTTGTAGCCCATTTTTCCATAGGCAATTTCATTATATTCTTGATTTCGTGATATAGCATTATAATGCGTGATTCAGTTTCCATACTAGCAAGAAAGTCATCCATATAGAGATGTTTATCTATCATTGGTGCAGCAATTGGAAATTCTGCGATATGTTTTGCAGCCAATTCTCGTGTCGCAGCACAGAGTAAAAACGGACTGCAAGTAAGGCCAAATGGTAAACGAGTAAATCTGTAAACAGTTATTTCATCTGTAAAAGTAGTAGGTTGAGATGAATCAGATTTTAATTTGTACCAGAAAAATTTTGTGACGTCCCTATCTTCTTTATGTAGTGACAACTGTAAAAAAGCTTGCTTACCATCACATGTAACAGCGAATTCATGCAATCGAAATCTTAGTAGACAACCAATAGATTCAGGAAGAAGATTCGGGCCAGCTTCCAAGGTATCGTTCAGTGAAATCATTCCTGGAGCATGCGAGGAAGCATCAAACACAATTCTCCACTTGGTTTCAGATTGCGTTTTCTTTCTTACAGCATGATGAGGAAGGTAATATACTGGCTTCTCATTGGATTCATCTATGGAACAAACTTCAACATGCTTTTGTTCAATGTAATTCAGCATGCATTTGTCATATTGTGTCTTTAACACATCACTAGATGCAAGTCTTTTTTGAAGAGAATGAAATCTGTTTTCCGCTATAATTTTGTTTGTAGGCAAAGGTGTGACCAATGGTTTTCTAGGCAGAGACACAATTCTTCGATTGTCTTCAGTGTTGTAAGTTTTGTGAAATTCTGATAAAATTTCTTCATCTCGAGTAGTCATTTTCGTTTTCGTTTCTGCGCATCTTGTGTCCCTATAGAGTCTAATTCCCAGAAGCGACGCACCTGATCATTTAAACAATCAGTTTTAACTTGTACACACTAACTTGATAGACAGAAGTCTTCTCAGCGATTATAGTATGTGTTCTTGTTCCACTAAGAACCCATCCAAACACTGACAGTACCATAACAAAAGATTCTGAAAAGCTTGATTGGAGCTTCTGCGGAAACAATTTGCCAATAATGATCACCACCAATAAGTATTTCTATGGGCAGTGAAGCGTCATCCGGAGGATCAGCAATTCTCAATCTTTTCTTCTGAGCAAAGTGAACTATTTCTGGTGGAGCAGTAGGATGTGTAGTATAGGAATTGGAGCTTTCAAATGCGGAGATCAAAAATGCTTGGTTGCTCCACAAACTTGAAAGTGACAGTTGAACACATCTACGTTGTTCTTGTGAAGTAAAAGATTCAAATGCTTGAACTGAAAGTGAGGCAGAACTGACAACTTTAAGCTTAAGGTTTTCAATGAGGTTTGTGTGAACAAAACTTGCTTGGCTACCACCATCTAAAATGCAAGCGTGTTAATTTAGTAATGCCTGTGGGGCCAGTAACATACACACGAGCAGTTTGCAAATGTGTGAAAATTGTTTTAGGAAAGGTTATGTGATTTACAGCACTGTTAGTTATCCGCAGTTGATTGTTTTCAACAGGAGGACAAATAGAAACATGATGCCTTTTCTTGCATTTAGTGCACCGTGCAGTATTTTTTCTTGGGCAGTTTGAAACTCTATGACCACGGTTAGTACACAGAAAGCAGCGATTTGAAGTTTTAAGTTTCTGAACACGAGTATCATAGTCTGTAACAGTTTCACAATATTGAGGCCAATGTCCTGTAGTATCACAAAATGAACAAAATGGTGAAATTTTCTTACGTTTGTTTACTGTTTTGGAATTGATATTAAAATTTTCTACAGTGCACTTTACGGTGTGATCAGAAAAAGACGTACCTTTAACTCTTTGTGCTGCAACTACACCTTCCACTTCTTCTGCCAAGAACTGCATCAATCTAGTAATATTACCTTCGTTTAGTTTTTCACGCTTGGCATAGATAATCCAGCGGCAACAAATATCATTGGGGAATGCACGAATAATTTTTGGCACTAGGATTCTACCGTATGCTTCAATATTTTCACCCAGAGCAGTTAAAGCTTGAATTCTTCTGTTACATTCTATGTAAAGATCATTTAGATGCGTAGGAGATGGGTCTTGAATAACATTTAAATGTTCTAAGTAATCTAAGTGTGATTGGATAATTCGATCTTTATTTCCATATCTTTCCTCCAACAATTTTTTTGTTGTTTCATAGGTGTCTCCTATTATTACACTAATTCCATCAACAAGGCGTTTAGCTTCACCATCTAAATAACCTCTGAGGAAAACATGTTTATCAATAACAGAAAGATGTGGATTGGCATCTATAGAAGATTTAAACTGTTCCCAAAAACATTGCCACTGTTCAATTTCTCCTGTAAATGATTGTAGTTTAATTGTTGGCAATTTAACTGTATGCGGTTGAGTCATAGGCACTGCAGTAGGAGGGTCGCCAAATGTCATCGCTAAATCATTGGTATCCATATTCGATGCAGTAACATTATTTGGAGTTGGCGATAATTTATTTTGAATAATTTTTCGTGCTTTGAAAATTGCAGATTCACCAATATCTATGTAGTTAACTTTAGTATATACATTACTAAAGGTAGGTTAATGAGAGGAGCTTTTAAAGCTTACCCGAAAGCTGAAGTTAGGATAACACTTCCATGTGGTGTACGGTATTTTTCTGGTACAATGTCGGCCTTGACAACGGTTAATTGCGTGCCTGTATCTGCTACTGCATTAATTAATTTACCATCACATATAACTTTAACGGTTGGCAAATCATCTATTAATTCTTTAACTTCTTGATTCGCTATAAAATATTTAGCAGAAGTCTTTGCAGTTACGGCGTTAGAATTATTCTTAATTTCTTCTTTCTTCTTTAGCAACCCTTTCCTTATCTTCATGCGACAATATATTATGATACTTAGAATTACATTTTGAACATTTTAATTGAGAAGGGCAATTTTTTGTTTTTGCTCTACAGTTTTCTTTTCGAAACAAAGAAAGCACCGATTAGAAGCCCTTAAACTCTTTTTCCTTTCTTCCGGAGACATAACGCATTTTTCCGAAAGCATGATTTCACCTTTCACAAAATAAGCAAGGGAAAGTTCGAACAACTGCAATTTTGCTTACATTAGGGGAATAGTTGGCGCCAAATTTGTTGGCGTTGACTGGATTCCGGGTGTGGAAGTTGTTTCGCTTTTCATTGGGTTGAGAATGCCTTTCGACTCTTAGAATAAAATAATTTAATGAAGTTCGTTCGCGACTTTCAATTTCCCGTTTTAGAAATTTCGTGAGGTCGTCTACATTAAAATTTTCCTCGTCTGCGTTTTGACGAGCAAAATCAAGCGTTATATCCTAAGGTATGCATTTCATTAACAAAGGGTACAGTAAATTTCCATACGATTCGGTTTTGACACCTATCGAATTTAGTGACCTTACTTGTACGTTGCAGGTGTCATATAATTCCCTAAAAGAATTAATGTCATTAGAACTTCGGACAGGCCGTAAATTTAAGAGTTTATGCATGTACGAATTAATAAAAAGATCTTTTCGACTCGTATCTTCTCTGTAGAGAATTTTAAGCGCTTCGTCGTAGTTTTCTGGCGATAAAGAAAAGCCTTCTATTGTTTTTAAAGCTGCATCGCCTAACAGGCTAAGCAAGTAATTAAACTTATCTACTTTAGATAGTTTTTCGTTTTGATTTATTGCCGATATTATTATAGATATCCTGTATTTCTGTACTAAACACTTTTTTACCCTTAACTGAATCATCACATAGTTATAATGCCAACACCTAAAGCTGTTAGAAGTTTTTTGAAAAGGTATTTGTTTCTAATGTTAAATAATGAGCAATCCGTGTTAAAGCAGGTATGTATGGATATATGTATGTTCCTCGCATTGGTAAAAAAATATCAGCACCTACAACAACTAAGATTTTAATCCATGTAGTTTTCGTCCGAACATGTGCACATTGAAATCTGAATTAAAAAAAATTACTATGTTACTAATTAAAATGGTTTGGGCAAACTTGAGGAAATTATAATTAACAAACTAAGCTATTTAAAAGCAATGTGTTTCCAGTGGGCAGTGGGCAAAGTATAAAATACTTTTGTTCAAATATAATAAATGTCATCTATTTTTTAAAAAAAATGTGTTACTTCTGCTTGAATGAAAAATTTTTATCCTACGCGTGCCACAGTCTCTCCCTTCGGCAAAGCATAAGATATTTTTCTTTCAAATTTAATTTGTTAGTTATTGATTAACAAACTAAGTAGTTAAAAAATGAAAAACTAAACTCTTCGGCTGTAATATGGTAAAACTGCTAGCTAGACACGTGAAATTAGACCAAATGAAATCATTACAACCTTTATATATATATATCTTCTTTTTTTTTTTTTTTTTTTTTTTTTTTTTTTTTTCGAAATTTCATATAATAATAAAAAGAAAGTAATCCTCTTCTAATTACAATAATTTAATCAATTGTTTCTATCCAACGATTCTAGACTTAAAGTTACAATAGAAATTATGCAATGAATATTTAAAGCATTTTAGTTTCCAATGAATACAAGTATTTTATTGTTTAACATTGAATATGGAGAACGAATGAAATGTGGGTCGCTTATATCTTTCCTTCAGATTTCCCTAACAATATTTATATTACTCGTATTGTTAGTATATTATTTAATTTGTCAGCATATAGTATTATTAGCCGTATTAATATTAATAATATTAATAATTGATTAATTATTATAATATAATTTATTTCAGTTGTTTCATATAATTTGTCATATCATATAATTTTATATAATTTGCTCATATCATGTAATTTACATATTTCAAGTAATATATTTCATTTTATATAATTTGTTTCCTATAATGATATTCTCATGTAATTTGTTTCGTTTTGTTTTTGTTGAAGAATTTCATGACAAGAAACAAAACGTAGCTATCATCAGACATATTATTTCCGTGATAAAATCTGCTTAAGCAACGAAACACGGCGAATCCTTCTCAAACAGCCACTAATGAAATCAAGAACGCAGAGTAATGCGGTATTGTCATAAGATATAGTAGCATAGATTGGATGTACTAAACATAACGAATGCTGAAGTATTTCCGCACGGGAATTATTATTACCGATTATTAGGTAACTGCATATAAAGTTTTTAGATTAAAATATAAGGTTTTGTCTTCAAAAAATTTAGAAGACCATAAAAATTGAAGGGGATTCTGTATTTGTCTATTCAATGGCGCTGGAAACATATTAAAAAATATAAAAAAAAGATAAAACAGTATCATAAGGAAAAGCATTTACTGTTTTTAAGTGAATTATTAATATATAAACGACACATTAAATATGGAAAAGTTAAAACTGATATCTTACTGTTTCCCGAATGGGAATAAAAAAGACAAAAATAACTCATTTCTGACAGTCGCAACACATTGGTTTTTAAATACTTTAGTAGCATTAAATTTGAAAAAATATCAATACAAAAGCGCTCGGAAGCAATTTCAAACATTCGCAATATATTGCTTCACAATCTCTTCAGTTTTTAAATAAAATTATATTAAATTCGCTCAGAGCTTGAGAAAAATAAAAGAAATTTCTACATTCAAATTTCCGATTTTTTAATATGTTCAACGTTCACATGAATTGGTGCAAGACAATAAGTATTCAAAATTTGACGGCTATAAGGTTCAACAGTTTCCCATTATGCGACGAGCAAACATATTCATCATTTTTTATTATCAGAAGTACAAGGAATGAAGTCTTATGTTGTAAATAACGATCAATATAGAAAGTTGAAAATAACATTATTTTAATATAAACGGGAAAAATAAAT